ATGTAGAACACTCAGAGGACTATTCAGAATTTAGGGAGGGAAAGCCTGGAGGCTATTCCATGCAGCCTCAGTCACTCACTTTGAGCAATTGTTACTGATCTTCACGGGATAAATGAGATAAGAGAGAACCTTATACTTTTGTCTAGAAGGAGCTGGGATTTATAGACCCACTTCAGTGAGATACAAGAAATTGATCAAAGTTACTTCACCACTTTAGTCATGAAATCCATTGAGGTTTATGGTAATATGTATGTGACGACCATTTTCACAGGAAGAGATTTGGAAATCGAAGACTTAAAAATGGAGTTCTATGACTGACTTGGGCCAGCTCCATGCTTTAAGCAAGCCAACTCTTCGCCTTGTTGCCAGTACTTTTTTAAGAGTCTAATTGTAATACCTGCCTTATCAGTCTTACAGACTTGTTGGGGGATCAGTTGATAGAAGTTATGTATATATACCCTGAAAACCTGAAAGTATTTAAAAAACATTTTATACTTAATATGGCACAAGTATCCACTGTTTTATTTTACGAGACATGCAGACAGTTAAAACTTCTTTTGGGGTATGATGTATTCTACGATGAGTGATAATAACAGGTTTTTGTGCTCCATCTATCATGGCTTCTGTTCCAGTATGTTTGCTCTTAAAACTAGAGTGAAGAAAACATAAACATGGAAAATAGACCCTGATATTTCCAAATGGAACTTTTCAAAATGATGTCTTAGGTGAGCATGGTTAATACCAGAATGCTGAACATAGGTAGAACAGCAAAGTAAATGTTTTTATTTTAATTTATTTTATTTTTTAATTTTTTTAATGTTTATTTATTTTTGAGAGAGAGAGAGAAAGAGAGGGCACAAGCAGGGGAGGGGCAGACTGAAGCAGGCTCCAGGCTCTGAGCTGTCAACACAGAGCCCGATGCAGGGCTCAAACTCCTAAACTGCAAAATCATGACCTGAGCCAAAGTTGGATGCTTAACCAACTGAGCCACCCAGGCGCCCCAAATGTTTTTTTTTTTTAAGTTACTGTCTAGTTTAAGAATTATCTTTCACTATAGTAATATATTATTAGTAACATTCATGATCATAGACTTCTCTGAATATTTCCGTCAGAATATTGACCCTAAAAAGCACACAGGTAACTTTAAAAATTACTGTCTGCCTTGTCTAAAGAAACCACTCCAGAAGTAGGTTTATTTTTCTTTAGGTGGGTAAATATGATAAGATGGATGGTACATTAAAGAATAAAGAGAAGGGCTTCTCAAAGCTGATTTACATATTGATTACTTAAATTACTCCTTAATTTAGTGCCTGCTAATAAACAGTGCCTTGGAAATGTTTCCGGAACATTTATTGGCTGCAGTAATTCTATCTCCGGTGTATGCAGATCACATCCTCATTAAATATTGATGTGCTCATGAAATGTTAATAGAATGTTAATGTGAAATGCAGGGGGATCTCCTCAGTGGGAGCTGGGACTGGCTGAAAACTACCTGTCTTCTGTCTTTTCTTTATGTTCTGTCTTCTTCTTGCTCTGTTGTTTCCATTAATTCCCCCATCATCAGGAGGTTTGGATTTGCTCCTTAATATATGTATAGCCGTCCCAGATACAACATTTTTAAAAGAGAAAGATTTACTGATTGATGGGAATTTAGTTGTTCTCCCCTCCTGCTTCCCTGAATTGGAATTCTTGGTTAGAACTAGAATGAATTCCTCTAAAAGGAGAAGGGTGATTCAGGATTAAACTAATGAGTCTTTGTGCTCAGCAGATTGTGGAGAAGAGATTGTGAAGAGGGAATGAGGCTTTCAAAGACTCGAGCACCGGTCCTTCCTTGCTTGACTGCAGAAGGGATTTAGTTGGAGTTTACGTTCAGCTTTCTCAGAGAAAAAACAATCAACTCATAACATGTGTTTCCCTAAAGACACTGCAAGGAAGAATTTTTGTCATAAATCTCAAGGACAATAAAGGTTATGCTCATGATGATATTCAGTACATAATTATTTATGTGAGCATATGTTCCAAATGGTTGAAAAGCCTCAGTAAACAGTACGGTTCATCAACTTCTTGGACAATTGTGAGGGGGGTAAAGCGATAATGGCGAAGGCTGTGAGAACTGCTTGTGGCACAACAAATGCAGGAGGAGATTGAAGACACAGACTATGTTGTGACTATGGTTGGGTTTTAAGGCAGTCCTGGCAGGAATCTCCCCAAACAGTTGATTTGTTAGTGGGGTACTGTCAGTGCATATAATAAGATGCGTATATATGTGTGTTTTGGTGTCTGTGCAGAAAATAATCGGAGCACATTCTTGTTAAAATCCTACTCCTTTGGTTCTAAGCAATGCACCTGATATTGAACTCCCTCACATCACTTTGCTGTTTGGAACCCTGTCCATATCAATAAGATAGCACTTTCACTTACTTTTCTTTCTTCCCCCTTTTCTTCTCTCCTTTCTTCTTCCATCCTTTCAAATATTCTTTCTTTTATCTCACTTTCCTAAAAGCCTTCCCCTCCTTGTCCTCTTCATTCCTTGTCTGCCTCTCCTTACCTTTCTATGATCACATGCCAGGTGCCCCATGCACACTCAGTCTGAGCTGCCCTAATCTCTGCCAGGGATGCTGCCCAGGCCCCCCCTTTCTTTCTTACTCCCTCTTATCCTTTCTCTGCACTCAGATCTTTTCCAATCAAATCAGGCCATGTCACTTGTCTGCCTAAACCTTGTGATTAGCATCTCATGATCTTGGAGTGACACCCCATGCAGCCCTGGGGCAGAGGTCTTGGCTCACCTCTATGCTCCCCAGGTTTGTTTTCCCCCTTTCCAGCTCCTGGAACCCCAAATGCTTCTTTGGGCAAGCCCAGACCCCTCCACATTATAGGCCAGGCAGTCTGCTGGCCTGGCCCAAACACATCCTACTCATCTACTCAGGGGCACCGTCCTTGATACCTACACCTGGGATATTCTTCCTCCCAGACCTCGACTTGGCAAGCTCTTTCTCATCCCCAATTCCCAGCAGTCACTCAGTTATCTAAACTCTCCTCTGCAGGCCTTCCCCATTGCTCTTTAACACCTCAACCAGTTATTTTTTTTTCCCCATAACACTTGTGATAAACTAATTACCTATTGTTTTTATCTGTCTTCCTCAATTAGAATGAATGTTCAATGAGGTCGGAGCCCTGGTCTATCTTGTTCTCTACTTTGCGGGGCTTCTTCCTAGTCGATAATTACCATTATTGATTGAATGAATAAAACACTATTTCTGCCACTGAAGATTTTGTAGCCTAAGGGGTAAAACAGCATAGGTCGGTGCACAGCGTTGATGTAGACTGGGAGACACCCACCTGCTCAGGATGTCGTGTAGCTCTTGAGGAGGTACCAGGCAACTATATCTGAGATGCTCCAGAGATGGATAAAGTGGTTATTCCTTTTGTTGACACATGAATTTGAAGTTTAGTGACTTTGAAATAGAGTTTTCTTGCTTTGTTTTTACTTTTGTCCAATCCCTGTATACACACTCCCTTAATTATGGTAGGAACATTTCAAAGTATCTTAAGGATAGAGGAGAATTATTAGACCAACCAAAGAGTTTTCAGAGGAAGTTTTGAGCAAATAAACTGTAAGGACAGGGAATCAGCTTTTCTGCAGGAGCAAAGGTTCCCAGGGCTCTCCTATGGCTTTTCCTCTCTGCTTTCCTTTGCATTTGTGTTTGCTTTTCTTTAAAAAAAAAATTTGTAACATTTATTTATTTTTTGAGAGACAGAGTCGGGGAGGGGCAGAGAGAGAGGGAGACACAGACTCCGAAGCAGGCTCCAGGCTCTGAGCTGTCAGCACAGAGTCTGATGCAGGGCTTGAACCCACGAATTGCAAGATCATGACCTGAGCCGAAGTCGGATGCCTAACCGACTGAGCTGCCCAGGTGCCACCCCGCCGCCAAATTTTTTTTATTACAGGTTCGCATTCAGGTAGCTCCTGTGCTCACATACCTTGTGGACTGTCAGCACAGTTGGGCCAGTTTTTTTCCCCTTTTGTATGATAAGTCTCAGGGACAAGCTCTGGTTGGTTCCTTTTGTGTCACATGTCCCTTAGGCATGCTTCAGTCAACTAATATGGGGGGGTGAGATCCTGTAAGAACATGAGAACCTCTGTGGGCAGATATGGGGAATTAAAGGGTGCCTGGGTGGCTCGGTTGGTTAAGTGTTAGACTTTGGCTCAGGTCATGACCTCCTGTCTCATGGGTTCGAGTCCTGTGTCAGGCTCTCTGCTATCAACACAGAGCCCACTTTGGATCCTTTGTTCCCCTCTGTCTGCCCCCCTTCCACTGGTTTCTCTCTCTCTCTCTCTCTCTCTCTCAAAATAAATAAATAAACTTAAACATTAAAAAAAAAATAATAAAATGTAGGAGTTGAAGGCCCAGAAGAGCTGCTATTCACCAGGAAAGGAAAGACTGAGGGGAGAGAGCATGGTCTTATCACTTCAGTAAAAGGTCTTTCTTGTCCTGTTTTGAAAACCTCTCCATCCATAGGCACTTCTGTGTAAGTGGAAACCAGCATGCAAAATCTGCTCTGACAGGGTGGAAAGTTTTAGGAGATTTGTAAACCATGTGAGTTTTAGGCGCTATATACTGAGTATATGCTTAGCATACAATTGTGTTTTGGCCCCAACCCTTTGTTTGGCAATCTGGGGTAGATCTGTTTCTGTTACCACAGAGCCAACATTATTTTTCAGTTTTTTTTTTTAATGTTTATTTTTTATTTTTGAGAGAGAGATAGACCAAGAGTGCAAACAGGGGAAGGGCAGAGACAGAGGGAGACACAGAATCTGAAGCAGGCTCCAGGCTCTGAGCCTCAGCATAGAGCCCAACGCGGGGCTCAAACTCGCGAACCTGAACTGAAGTTGGGTGCTTACCCAACTGAGCCACCCAGGCGCCCCATCTTAGAACCAACATTTCAACATTTTCTGCAAACTGGCTTCTCTTACTTACCTGTTCCCTTTCCACTTGCAGATTGTGCTTGAGAACAGTAGCCGGGAGGATAAGCATGAATGTCCCTTTGGCCGCAGCAGCATAGAGCTGACCAAGATGCTGTGTGAGATCTTGAAAGTGGGCGAGCTGCGTAAGTAACACTTGTTTCCCACATGGGCATGATGCTTGGCAGGGACCCCACTTCCAGGGTTGTGCCTGGACCTATGCAAAGAATTCCCAAGGTGCTGCTAGCGGTGCATGGGCATCCCTGTGGACCCAGCATTCTTTGGCTCAGGCTTCCAGTGCATGTATTTCTGCATGTCTGTCTTGGAAATACACATTATTGTTATCTACAAGTGGAAAAATTTGCAGGTATGATGGCTGAATTTCAAATGTTATTGAATGAGTATATATTAAAATAGTCCTGCATTTAGTAATCTGTTAAGGAAAAAGATCTATGGATTTCTTTTTTAAAATTCTGGTTTTTAACCTACCAGTAGATTATTTTCTTTTCTTTCTTTTGAAACAATTTTTCTCTGTAAAGAAAAATTGAACACTTTAATAAAATCCTCTTCTCCCAATATCTCACTTGTTTAGAATACTTTCTCTAAGAGAGAAGGAATTATAGAAGAAAATGGGTAGCTGATCATGACAAATGTGGTCAGAGATATGCTCATTGCTTTTTTTCTTATTTATATTACAAAATTTAGGAGAGGACACCCAGAAAAAGCAGGTATGATAATTCTCCTGCCTTTTGCTCACTGGTGTAATTTGGGTTTAACCTGTTAAGATGAGTCTGATTTAACCTGGCTTGCAGTCATTGTCAACATTTAGCCTCCTTAAAGTGGCTGAGTTCCATTCCCTCCAATATCTCTAGAGCTGACACACATATAAATCTTCCCTTGTAGGCTTAATAACATGGGCGCCAGAGAAGACTGTTTATACCAGAGGAATGTTGGATGTTTGGTATTTGTTGTGAAAGCATAAATATTCAGTTACCTGCTTGAGAGTTTAAAATAATGGTCTGAGATGATTAATGGAAAGGAATCCAATGATTAAATTGCAAAGGAGGTTATGCTTTATTTACATTGTAAAAACCGACTATAGGTACTATTCAGGTAAACTAGAAAATTGAGAGCTTAAGGAGGAAAAACGAGGAATTTAAGTCTGTTCGACCAAGCACAGCAAATATTATCATCCTCCAGTGTGGGTGGATGGGGGAAAGAGGCTGAAATTGACATGAAACTTCCATGAAAGTTCTTTACTTATGAGCCCAAACTAGGTCATCTGTACGTTAGAAGAGTAGTAGCCTCACCGAGAGATTTCTGTGTCACTCTGCTCAGGTTCACTGTTCACCAAGGTTAACATTTCAGTTTACCTGGATCCTTTTTTTGTTTTAAAGTTTATTTATTTATTTTCAGAGGGGGGAGGGGCAGAGAGAGAGGGAGAGACAGTCCCAAGCAGGTTTGTGCTGTCAGCACAGAGCCTGATGTAGGACTAGCGCTCAAGAACTGCGAGATCACGACCTGAGCCGAAACCAAGAGTCGGATGCTTAACCAACTGAGCCACCCAGGCACCCCTATTTACCTGGATCCTTGACCCAAGTTATCCTTCCTACTCTCCATCAGACTAACTTGTTGAGATTTATGTCTGCTGCCTAGCTTACTGTTTATTCAGTTGAAGGATTAAAGTCCTGAGTCAAGCAGATCCTACTGAATTCCTCATCCTGACAGCGGTGACTGTTTCATGTTTATCTCAATTTTATGGGGGGCGCTGCAGGAAGTCACTTGCTAAGAAGCATTGCAAGACCCGCTAAGATTTTCAGAAACTGGACAACAGTCATGCTCTGTCTTGGTGCTTGCTTTGTCTAGGTTATCACCCCACATTGCCCCTTTCCCTATGGCCTGCTTTGGCCAGTTCTCACCTTCATGGCAGTAGAAAGTGTATAGAGCGTATTCTTCTGTGCTTCACTACTATATCCAGCCTCTGCTCTTCTCCTTTGACAACTGACCCATATCTATCGTGCTAAAAGTTGACACAGAACAGAGATACAGAGGAGCAGAGGGAGGGAGGATGCTGGGAGTGAAGGGGAGATGGGTTCTGTCTCTGCCCCTTAGGATCCTCATGGCCTTGGGTAATGTCCTCACAAACTTCACCATGCTCTTACACCTCCACATTTTCCCCAGAAGTAGATTGGTAGTATTTGGGGTGATGATTTGAGTAGTTGTGTTCATTTTGGCCTGGGCACAGAGAGGTACACGGGGAATAGAGCGTATTCAGCCTAGGGAGACCAACTTGGAAAAGATGGCCAAGTTCTAGACTGTGTGTGGGCAAATATGGATCTGATTTGGACTTTCATCCATGTCAGTGTGACTCTATTTGGTGGGCAGCAGCGGGGGACCATGGTGGCAGGAGTCTGAGCAGACGGTTCTGCTCAGGTGAGTGTCAGCTCTGTGCTTTGCGGTGGGGGTGGAGCCAGGGGTAGAGACACAGACTAGGGACTGACCTCTGGCTGGTGCAGAGCAGCTCTGCAAGACTTCTGAGGACCTGACATCAAGCCAGGAACTAGGACAGAACTCCATTCCTAGGGACTGAGATAAAGAGTGGGGATGAAGGTAAATACCTTGAGGATTTACCTTGAGGTAAATACCTGGGGGTGTTCCAGGTGCTGCTGTTGCACTGTACATTATTCCATATCTCACCTTCTGCTGCAGAGAAGGTTCCAGCCTTCTGCAATGACTCATTTAGTACCTGGTCTGGCCCATCTCTGCAGTGAAGTTGGACTAGGTTACCTAGGGCCTGGTATACCAATGGCAAGCTCCCTTCATCCAAGATGACAGATGCATTTATTCATCTGTTTAATCAAAATCTATTGATTACTTACAATGTGCCAAGGGCTGTGATTGAACACTGCAGATTCAAAGGTGAGCCACTTATGATCCCTGTCCTCCAGAAGCTTGCGCTTGAGAAATTTTTGGGACTGATATCTTCTATTCTTAGTTATAAATGATTGCATATTTATTTTAAATGCCCATTGTCTATTCTAAAGTAGAATTTTGCCAGTGTTCTGATAGTTTGAGGTTTTAGGTTAGCCTATTTATTGCTTGCCCTGCAAAGGTCTTTCTGGACATTTTGCAAGGCTTATGGAGGATTCCACATTTCTGAAGTCTACATGCCCAAATGAGATGTTTTCAGCTCATAAAATATTAAAGGATTCCTACATTCTGATTGAGTGCTAGACATCAAATGATGAAACACCCTTTGGTAAGAGGAAAATTGCTTTTTAATGGATTGCCTTTTGCCCATTGCCATAGTAAATAAGTTGCTAATATGGAAAACAAATCTGAGTGCACCCTGATGTTGAGGGAAATATCTGTTTTTCTTCTGGGGAAAATTAGTTTCACATACAAATCCATCTTCCTTTGGTTTCAGTGTGTCTGCTTTTCTCTAAGTTCATGGTTCTTCTCATATTTGTGTTAATAATTGATCTGGAAGATCATGGTTGTACTAAATCGATAAGCAAGTGCAGAGATCAAAGAAGTTCCACTTAAAGATCTAACTGATTGAGAAAAAAGACATATACAAGAGTAGAAAGATTCAATTTTCTACAAACGCTTTGTTTTTTTATTTAACTTACAGTCTTTGACGAAATCCACTTCTGAAATACTGGTTATATTTTGATGTCCAAAGCAAACATACTAATATTCAATTAAATTAGTGATACCAAGTATTTATGCAGTTTTTTTAAGATTGCTTTTTAAAAAGCACTATTTTTCTGCTTCCCAATTATTAACATTGCAAGAGGTGAATGTTTAATAGTGTGGTATAAAAACCAATATCTGATCATTTATATGCTTAAAGCACTTTATCAGGGTTGTTTAGTTGAAGCCCCATAACACCCCCAGTAGTTAATCAAGATCAATAGCATCTATGTTTATTAATGAAGAGAAGACATAGACTTACTGCATATTGTCTGGGGTCACTGGGCTCAAATCAGTGCTCAGGAAGCCCAAAGAATAGTACAGAAAGAAGCAGAAAAGTAGAATGGTTGCATTTTGGCATCTGGATGACCCATCTTTGAATCACAGCTCTGCTACTAATTGCACGCCTTGGGCATGTTTCTTCCTCTGTTCTGAGCTTCAGATTCCTTATCTCTAAAATAAAGCAATACCTGCTGCACACAGTTAGTTGTTGGGAGGTTTAAATAAAATAATGGGCACTGCTTTAGTTGCAAGATAGATGATTTTTTTGCAAGTGATAGAATCTCAGCTTTCCATAAGCAGACTGCAGGTTAAGTGACAGAAGGAGAATGCTCTGACTTAAGTAATAGCTGGAACCAGAATCTGGAGCAATGACTCTGTTTCTTCACTCTTCACATTCTGTCTAAAATTATTCTTTGTAACCTGCTTGGTTCATGAGTCACTTTTGAGAGCAACACACTTGTTTTTTCCCTTAGTTTCTTTTTTTTTTTTTTTTAATTTTTTTTTCAATGTTTTTTATTCATTTTTGGGACAGAGAGAGACAGAGCATGAACGGGGGAGGGGCAGAGAGAGAGGGAGACACAGAATCGGAAACAGGCTCCAGGCTCCGAGCCATCAGCCCAGAGCCTGACGCAGGGCTCGAACTCACGGACCGTGAGATTGTGACCTGGCTGAAGTCGGACGCTTAACCGACTGCGCCACCCAGGCGCCCCTTTTCCCTTAGTTTCAGTCTTAAAAATCACAAAGAAGAATACCAATGGACCCGGAGGTGGCCACAGATCCCCATTGGGCTGGGTTGTATAATTGGCAGTTCCAGTTAGAAGAACAGGACTGGAGTAGAGTGAAGAGCAAGTCTTGAGAAGAAGAGGTGTATTTGTGTGTGTGCAGTGGGTAAGGGTGTGGGGAAGTGGGAGGTGGTGCACTAACAGAAGAAGGGAGTCATCTCACAGACAAATACAAAGATATTTGCTATAGATGTGAAGTCCTAGGCAGATACCTAGCTCTTAACTGGGGCTAAAAAATGGTAACTGTTGTGTTATTATGGCACTGTCCCCCAAAGCAGTAAGTTGTTGAGAGATACAAGGAAACTTTGAGTTTTACACAATAGGTTAATTACTTATCTTTGGGATATGTAGCCCCTGATCCAGTTATATTCCAATATCAAGTAGGG